AAAGAATTTAAAGAAATCATTTAAAATATTTAATTTTACATGAAAAAGAGAGTCGGAGTCAAGCACTCGCTGAGTGCGGTTCTTGTCGTTTTTTGTCCATTGTCTTTGTTTACTGGCATAAAAGAAAAGAAAATAATGTAAATATCATATTTTTAAAACAAATAAAAGGATAATGATCCATTTTTTTTTTGCGAACTTTAAGAAAATCATGTGTCAACATTCTTCGGACATTTTGCGTAAAATATTTTTCCGGATATTGCCAGAAGTTAATGTTAAAATTAAAAGCAAACGAAAATTATAACAAAATATAATAATTTTGATTAACATTATAAAAGAGGCCATTTTGATTATTGAAAAGAAAAAAAAAAGAACTGATAATGAAGGGCTTGTTGATTGACACGGTCTTAATATCACATAGGTGTTGGCATAATTTTTCGATTTAATTGAAATAACTAAATGACTCATGTTTGCCTCAGTTCGCGCTTATTGTGGAAGAAAATTATCGAAAAGCAAAGAACAGCATATGTAGAACGTTATTTTTTTTTTTTGTTTTTCCATATAGAACGGGTACAGCTGTCGCATATAAAGTTAGTTAGAGATGCTTATCGCGAGAGCCTGTGCAAATAAGACACGTAAACCCATGTGATACTGAGAAAAAAAAAAGGAAAACCATTAACACACAATGAACACTTACACATATAATTGATTAATTAAAATCTATTTATTATTGTTAACAAAAAAATTTATAGTTAATAAAAATAGAAGTACTTTCAAACATTTCGTTGTGTGGTTTGAGTTAAAACAGACCAACTTGGGAATAAAATCAAAAGAAAAAACAACGAAATCGAAATGGAAAAACCCATTAACCCACAATGAACAGTTGAATATATGATTGATAAAAATTAAATATACTTATTGTTGTCGATATTAATATTATTAATACAAAGCATATTAACGTAGGAAATACTAATGTTCGCGAAGAATAAGATATTTGAAAAAAAAAAAATAAATAAATAAATAAATGAATAAATGCGAGAAACAAAAAAAGAAGGCTTTTAATTGGTTTATGAATTTTTGCCACAAGAACATTTCAATTTTTAAAGAAAACTGAACTAAAAATCAAAGGAATCGAAGATGATTGGTGCCGTGAATGGTCGAAGCATGAAAAATAAGCTTAATGAGATGAACATGTGTAATTGCACAACGAATTTATAAAAATCATTACAACAAAGTTCTGAAGATTTATCGCCGCTTTTATGTGCATGGATGCAGAGAAGTGACTTCGTAAACTACTATGCATAAATTTATTCGGCAGCCAGTGAAGCAGTCACCATCACCTTGTTACACCACCAGCAACGAATCAGAGGGAAGTAATAAAATTGAAGGCAGAAGCAACAACAACAGCAACAACTTATCGGGAGCATTGGGATAGCTGCAGCCGACCGTGAAAGCAGTAATATTCGCCAAGTAAACGAACACCACCACCTTGCTTGTACTGTAAGTTATGTTACCTTTTCTTTTAAGCTATCCGATTTTGTTGTTACCCATGTGTGGCTAAGCGTGCGCTGCCACCGCTGTGGCTGAGGTGTAGGGGCGTGCACATGGTGGCCATGTAGGGCCGACGCTAGACGATGACCGACTGACCCACTGGCGACAGACGCACAGCCGGAAACTGACCAGACCTTTTCGTTCATTTAGTTTGTTTTTTTATTATTTCATTTTTTTTTTATTTTTATTTTATTTATTTTTTTTTTCTTTGTCTAAAGAAAAATTTTTAAATCCTCGGCGGCGAGGAAAAAGAAAAAGAGTTTCATGACACGTGCTTTCTTAAAACTAAAAAAGAGGAATTATGAAAAAGAAAATAAGTATTTACCCAATAAGTACAAAATATGTATTTACCCAATAAGTTAAACCTAAAATAAATTCTTCAAAGAATAAAAAAATAATAAAAAGAGAAGAAAGAAGAAAACTATGCGCTTGCCTTTTTTTTTGGAACAAACACATTATGAAATTAAGTAAAAGCAATGCAATTTTGAAATGTATAAGTATAAAAGCGAAAAGAACTGGACATGATTTCAATTACTCAAGTGGAAGAAATGCTATAGCTCATGAGTAACAGCGATGCCGTGAATTCTGAGATAAGTTTATTATTTTTATATATTTTATTGTCTATATAATGGATGGATAAAACAAAAAAGTTTGCGTTCGGTTAGATGAACTAAGGAATGAGAGAAATCTTCGCCTCTATGTTTTTTGAATATGACTTAACGGACAAATCGGTATGTATATACGGATATGGGACAAATGAGCAGCATAGTCGGAAAGATAATGTGACACTTTTCAAACAGATAGGAAATATAACAACATTAATATGTAACCCAACATTAAATAACATTTTTTTTTTTTTTTTTTGTAATATTCAATGAACTAGCAGACATTACATCGTTTAGGATAATGTATATAAGTTAATTGTAGCGGAAAGTCCCAACTCTGCCTCTGTTGTATGGTCTCCTTCATCTTGGTACTACGTAGATTCAGTTGAATCTGTTCAAAAGCAATTCTTGCTGTTTGCCCTTTATTTTATTTCGGATCTGATTGCCTCTCTCCCCTCCTATGAAAATAGGTTTAATGCGCGTAATTTACCTATTTCGTACTTAAACTAGCTCTTAACCTTAAAATGTCACGACGAGTCGAAAATGAATTGTTGTTAACTATTGTCGGTTGCCAAGCTTGTGGATGTTTGCGATGGCTTAGGGGTTCAATCACAATCCTATACCGGATGTGGGTGTGGCTCTATGCTAGTTGTGTACATGCTTTTTTCTTTTTTTTTCTTTTTTTTCCTTGTTATTTGTTTTATTATACTTATACTAATTTTTAATATTAGTTAATTTAAGATTTGCTTTAAGAGTCAATTTAACTCGACTGTCAATTTGTTTTAGTTGAGTTTCTTGTATAAGTAGAATAAATAAATAAATAAACAAATAAACAAATAAATAAATAGAAAGCCTGCAAGGCCTTCTAGTGTTATCATATTGGTGACGTCTGATAATGATAACTAGCTGATTGGCTTATAAATTTCTCCAATATTTGGTATAGCATCATTCAATTCTAAATTAAAAGGAAAATCCAGGATACCTGATAAAAAAAAAACAGCTGCTTGAGATGGGCATTCTTATCAGCACGAAAGAATTCATAAGCGGAGTATATGGTGGAAATATTGAGCGGCCGTCTAATAATATCAACTATTCTTCATCCAAAAACAAGATGTTTAACTTATTCTGCACTGCCACACTCCACAAAGGTAAGGAAAGAAACAGTGGCATCGAGGTTGTTCCTGTCATCAATGTAAATAAAATTCTCATTCACAAACCGGTTAAAGTCAAATTACAAATAAAATAATTCTAACTGAATATTTTCGCACATTTCCCAAAGCCATGATTGGTGTTTAAGTAGTGGAAAACACGAAGGAATAAAAAAATTTAAAGGTCCTTGGCTAGAAATGTGTGGCTAAGCGACATACCCCACCGCTAAGGCGGAGGCCGAAACATGTCGGTCGTTTTCAACTGTTTAGCGATGGTTTAGCAAAGTTCAGCGATCGTTGTGTAAATACCGTCTCCGAAGCCGACGATTTACCGAAAACAGAAGCACAAGGTATGTGGGTTGCACCTGCCGCGGGCTCGGGTTGCGTATCTCTTTCGGCCATGGTTTACGAAGGACTGCGTTCTTGGTTCTCAGATGATGGCCAATTAAGTCAAGCAATTTGTGAAAAGCGACCTGATTCTAACACTGCCCAGAAAATGTGTTGCGCTTGCGATGAAGCGAAATATAGCGTCATCATTTTTTTTAGATAACTCTCTTTTACGATTTTGAAAAATGGTTCAATTCGACATTTCCTTTTCAGTTCATTTTCGAAGGTATTTGGTCCGATGAAACCCATCCAAAAGGTTTTCCATTCGCAGCATGGTTGACGTATTTCTCTGACATCGTTAGAGCTTCACAAGAGAGCAATTTTTCATTTGCATGGATGTTTGGGGAGAAAATCATATAGCCACTGATGGTTTTCGTTCATTGGCTGAATTTGGTTCACCGAGTGCTTTAGAGGCTGAGCTAAGAGGTAAAGAGCCACGTTTAAGAACTTTAACAAAAGCTGCTGGTCTATGGTCAAGTAACTACTAACACTTCTTTAAAATTTCGTGTCGATCGTTAACATCATAAGCTTTCTATGGTATCTATTTTTGGTCCGTCGCCCGATTAGGTTGGTATAAACAGCATAGATCTATGCATGGATGATTGTTCGAGGAAAGAGGCTTTGGATTTCGATTTGTATCCGTGGAATGCCGGCACCGCGACGGGCATTTCTTGCATGTCGCCGATCTTGGAGACCCAGCCGAGAGAACGCATGTATCGCATTACTAGAATGTATCCGGAAGACCCTCCTGTTAAGGTAGGTTTTCATACAAATTTTACAAAAAACTAATGTAACAAATATGTATTAATCTTTTTATAATTGTATATAATTCTAATCCGTTAAATAATTATATTACTGTACTAAGTGACTGTTCGTGTTAATTTTACTTTCAGTTGTAGCAATGCATGATTTTTATATAAATTATATATATATATATCCAGTTGGGAGCATAGCTCTTCAAAAATGATGCAAGACTTTCTGATGCAAGACTGTTTAACTGAGGCATATATGCGGCAACTGTATAGAGAAAATAACACTTAAAAAGGCTGTCTGTTAAAACTTTTCGCTGTTATCTTACTTCGAATTTCTTATGCTCTTTATCTTCTCCGTCATATCCAAGAGTATATTGTCTTCCGCTGGTGCAGGATAAATTTCGGGATATTTACAGCATGGCCCAGTACTTTAAAAGGCAAGAGTTCCTTATCGACTAGGAAAAAAAAAAAACCCTGGGTATAATTACTTTTTCAGTAGAATGTATCTGTGCGTTAGCACCCATAACCTATTAGACCATTCTGTTTTGGAACGACTAACCTTTTCGGCATTCTAAAATCAGCTTTTTTTAAAACTACTGACATCATTATCTCATGTACATTTAATTAAATTAGAGCCGATAGCCTTTGGCGAATTAATAATGTTAATTAGACAAAGGAAATAAAAAACAAAAAAAGTGAATTAAGTTACCTTTCTTAAGTAAATACTTCGGTTAGAAATTTATATTTTTTGCAGTCTGCAGGTCCTTTGTCTTATAAATGCAACAATTTCGACGAAGCTTTCCGTCTTACTAGGTACCGTACACTTTTTTTTCATTGTATTGAATAGCATATCGTTTATTTTAGAGTGTTTTTTGTCGGTTAGGTGACGTACGGAATGGAAAAAAGTTCGTTGGCTGCTTTTTATATAACTTTGTGCCGCTTTGAGAATAAGCGTATATTCGTTCTCATTTGTTATGC